ACAAAGAGGCTGTTAATCAACCACCAAATCGCAAAAGGCCTGCTTATTGCTTTTGGAAGCATCTGTTTGGGATGGCAACGTGGAGGGATCGCAAACTGCTGTAGCTGGTCAAAACAGTTGCCCCGGGCTGAAAAGCTGAGTGTCAAATGTATAATTTCCATATTTGGAAAATCCAGTCACACCGGAATGCCTCTCATGACTGATTTTGTCATTGACGAATGAGGATTGCATACCAGGAATCTGGCCTCTTATAATCTGTTCAACAAACACGCTCAAACCAAAACAAGACACTTCAAAAAAAAAAAAAAAAAAAAAGCGACGTCATTTTAAACCTCTTGTATAAATATGACATCTGTTCAGGGAAGCCCACCCTGCCATATGGATCCCATATGTGCTCCAGTGTGTATTTGCACACGCGTGTAGGTGTGTATGTACGCGCAGGTGGTTGTTTTTCTTTAGCGGCTCTTTAAAGCCAACGTGACATTAATAACAAGCAGAGAGCAGCTGAAGATGGGTCCTACTGTGCGGCATGTGAGGAAGAGGCGGCGTAATTGCAGGTAAAAGAGGGTCATTCGGGTTTATTACCGCTATTTTGGGAGACAAATGGAGCGTTATTATAAACCACTTTATTTGGAGAAAGTGGGGGTAACGTAAAATGTTGGCGTTAATGTTTCAGAGCGAAAGAAAACCGCTGCCAAGTGGTCTGCCCTGCTAAATAACAAAAATAAAATAATGGTATCCAGCTTCTCTGTAGAGCTGCATACGGCTTTTCGCACTGCAATCGTCTTTGGAGTATTGGTGAATGTAAAGGCTCACTTACTTACACATTAGCATCATCCAGAAAAGCCCTGATTGGCAGGGCACACAGAGACGAACAACCATCCATGCTCACACTCACACCTAGTGACAATTTCGAGTGTTCAATCAGCCTGCCATGCATGTTTTTGGAATGTGGGAGGAAACCGGAATACCCGGAGAAAACCCACGAGCCCAGGGAGGAAAAACTCCACACAGGAAGGCCGCAGCCAGGATCGACCTCTGCACTGTGTCGTATGTGAACCACTACACTACCAATGTTCCTTGCCTTTCCATAAATTCTTCATTTTTGTATTTGAATGTGAAAAGCGGTGGTGGTGCGTGAACCTGGCACACGCCCGCTCTCGGTTTCAACTCGGCGCACACTTTGGCCGTTGATTATGTTCACAAAAATAAACCTGTCAACGCTCTCAGACACGCAAGTTGAAATCCAGCGCGCGCACATGACATGTCCTAGCTTGATCCCGCTCACGTCCTCGGCTTCTGTCGGGAGTCACTCTTGAAGAGACAACCCAACGTCTGTCTGCGAACGCACTAAGCGCCATGCAGTTGACGATATCGTGAAATATTTATTTTCTAAAGCAGACGGAGAAGCCAGTCGCTCACGTAATGGAGTCCGTGCAGGCAGTATGGACGGATCGAAATGATGGTATGCGGTTTGAAGACTGTGGAAAGTTCTCATCTGTCATGGTGTAATTTATCCAATGCCAATCAAAAAAAAAAAGACGTCAGAATGAGCTTGAGTTAAAAAACATTCAGAATGGAGCCTTCCTTAAAACAAGACGTAGCAATAACACGTTTGAAATACCATCACGTGGAATCGAAAGGGAAAGCCATTAGCCATCGGGAAAACGACTTGATGGGAGGAGGATGGAATGACGAATGCAGATAACAACAAAACTGCCAATAGTTTGTTTGCTAACGTTGCTATGCGGTAAATCGTGACGAGTAAACAATGAAAAAGGACAGTCAAGACACAGTGCCTTCCTCCCACATTCCCGATGCGCCAAGAAAAAAAAAAAATCTTCTCTGAGGCTTGTAGTAGTTCCCCAGTCTTAAGTCTAAACAGTCAGATAGCACTCTCTCATCCTCCTTCTCATATTTGGAGCATGAGCTCAAGATTGGAGGTTGCCAAAAGAAGCATGGTTTTTACATCTTGGGAAGTGCTTCCACTATTTCAAGGTGACAGGCAGGCGG